TATTGATTACTAACTATTGTCTAATCTAATTCAAGTGTGAAACTTGTGAAAATGCTCCTCGAGTCGTTTACAATTAGCAAGAGTTTGCTTGTGTGTTGTATTTCTACATATCTTTCTCCTTTACTACAGTCAGTACTTATAGGCCTTTTACTCCTCCATGATATAGGCCTTTTGCTCCTCCATGATCTCAAGTAAAGGAACACTCTTCCTTACAAGTGTTGTAGTGCTCCATGTTCTTTTTTTTTTTTTTTAACCTTTACTACGAGTCATTACTTTAGGCCGTTTACTCCTCTATGATCTCAAGTAATGAACCACTCTTTCTTACCTATGTTGTAATGCTCAATGTTCTTTTTTTCTTATGACGTAATATGTTTATGTTTTTTTTTTTTTTTTTTTTTTTTTTTCGGCATTGTAGTGCCTTACTCCGTTATTTCTTACACATCAATTTCACATTCCCTCTAACCATCCGGCTCGTACTTTTATTGCTATTAGAATTTTGTTATTCTTTAAGTACCTATACATTATTTATTGCTGATCACCTTTTCCTTATAATAAGATATTTTTTCATGTATTTGCTAAACTTTAGCTTTAGTGAATGCCTTGTTGAAAGTCAACCTTTCATTTGTTTCTATAGATTTTGTGGAAGGAGTTCCAACAGCTTTGCTTAGGCTAACTTAGTAGGTCAAGTGCATCTATTAGGCTTAGTGAATTAAGGATTGCTTTTTCTTGAATATAATAAACTCAATGGACTTTTGAAGTAAGCCCAAATGAGAAGATTAAAGAAAAAATTATTGAAAAACTTGATAGGTTATCTATTTTTTGTATCCAATTTATTAGGTCCAAAATCAAAATAAATTTAAGCATAAAAACTTATAGTCTTCTTGATTATTACATTGAAAACAAGTTATCTTATACGTAAAAAAAATTTAAACTTTTAGCAAACCCAAGTTTATCAACTTGGTTATTATTGTATGGATCAAAACCTAGACTACGTATATCAAGACTTTGGTTTTGAGATTCAAAAGCTTTTCTAAATTCTTTTTTTTTCTTTTGCTTTAGTAAAATTAAAATCTGTTTTCTCCAAATCTTTCGGTTTTTCTTTCAACTCAATGTTCTCTTTTTAAAGCTTTTCAACATTTATTTCTAAATCATAACACTTGAAAAAGTAATTTTGCCTTTGGAATCACTTTTCCCTTCTCATCGTGTAAAACATGAATCTTTTCTCTCAACTCATCGATTTTATTTAGAATGGAACCAATTTCAAATTTTAATCCAGAAGGGTTTCATTTTCTTTATCTAAACTTAGTTCTTGATCCATAAAAGAAATTTGTTTGTTAAGAGTCGTACTTTTCTTGAAATATTTTTTAAAATCATTTTGCAATTCACTATATAAATCATGGAGTTCATCAAAAGTTACCTCATTATATTACTTCATCTTCCTCATTGTCTTCTTTAGCCATCAAACATCGAATACCACCAAGACCGAACACTTCTTCCTCTACTTCCGAATCTTGATCATCACCTGAGACTCCATGTTTCAGCAACCATCGCTTTCTTTTTGTTCTTCTCAGCGGAATTCTTTGAATTTCTTTGTTGTCCTCTCCTTGAACATTCGAATACACAGGGACTAGGCTTGTTGCAACCATGCTATGATTGATTTCTTATTAGTTTCACTTTTGCTTGTATCTTTTCTAAAAGTTCTCTTGCCAAATCTTCTCGTCCTTAGAAATTTGGGAAATTGTTTCAGCAACGAAGCCATATCCTCATACTCGTTATCAATATCAAAGTCTGCATTATGAATGCTTCTGAAAGTAATGCGATTTTCTTCTTATTGATCTCATCATCATCTCCATTTATCGCCATCTCATGAGTTGTGAGAGAGTGATCCACAAAGTTCATCCAAATCCATCCATTTTAACCAATCCCTTTGGTTCTAGGATATTTGTTACCTTGGGTTCTCATGATTTTTGGCAGACCAGAGATCTTCCTCACAAGTTGAGAGATCTTCCTCGCAAGTTCAACTTTAGTACAATTTTTATCTAGATATTTTAAAGAATTTATAACATGTTTAAATCTAGTGAACTTGGCAACAATATATATCCTCATCATCTTGAAGTCCAAGCAATTCAAACTTGTGCATGAGTATCTATTTTAGACTCTTCCAACATGAGGAGTCCCTTTATGTGCAACCTCAAGTTTTTCCCAAATTTGCTTAGTAGTCTCACAAGTGTTAATTCTATTAAATTCACTAGCACACAAAGCATTGTAAAGCAAGCCAACGGCTTCAGCATTCCGCTCAACCTTTTTAATATCCTTTTCATCCCACTCTTTTTTAGGCTCTTGCCTTCAATGGTTTTTCATGGAAATAGAAGGACCATTAACAACAAGCCTACATAGCTCAAAATCAAATGACTGAATGAAAATCTTCATTCTTGCCTTGCAATAGCTGATATTTAAGCCATCAAAGAAAGAGGGCCTGCTAGTGAACTGACCTTCTACAAGTCCACTACCTATGGTTGCCATGGTATTTAACTCAAGGATTCGATAAATCCGAAGATTGAGCCCAGGCTTCGATATCAAATGTTGATCACAAAGGCAAACCAAGAGGGGATGAATTGATTTTTCAAAATAATAGTAGAAAACTCGAAACAATAAAGATGTACAGAGCAAAGTTGATAAATTCATGTAACCAACAAAAAAAGAGTATTCAAAAATCAAACACCTGGTATGCTACGATAAGAAAATAGTACCAAAGAATACAAACAGCTGGATGAACACTATCAGAAACACCACACCACACTTATAACAAGACACAAGTAATAGGTGACTAACACATGCAGATACTATGAAACAGCAAGTTAAACAAGATAAAAAGATGATAGGGTAGAAGAGATTTGCACGGAGGATGTACACTGGTTCCTCAAACAAACTGTGAGTAGTCCAGTCCTCAAGGGGATATCCTGAGTATTTCACTTGTTTACTTTTCGAATTCAACCTCTTACAGTAAACAGTAAAGCTGAGATTGAATAAAATAGCATACCTTGCTATTTTGAATCGAAAAGCACCTTGCTTTGATTTCTAGTACACACAATACACTCAATGATTAACACCAATCTGACATAAAATTTTAAATTTTAGGCTCGGGGAATGAATGATCTTAAGGATTTTCTTTCCAAAGACAGTACTCTGCATATGATTAAGAGGTAAGATCACGAATTAATAGAGATGATGTGATCTGAATTAGCCGTTGGTACACCTGTCAATTTGGAGGTCCGGACATGGTAATAAAAGGTTTTGTTTTTAAGATCACAAGGAAAGGCTATCACATCGGATTCGAGTAGGAGGATTATGAGGATGACAGATCTTATGGAACGTTAGTTGAGGTGTTAAAATGGAAGGGGAGTTTTAAGATGGAAGGAGGATATGTCTTACCCATATTATCTCTTTCAATATTTCTGTCTAGGAAGCGTTTGCCTCCAATTTTCGCAAGAGGAGACCTTCAGCTTGCATGATGAAATGCAGAAGAATGAAGAGTTTTTTTGAGAAATTTTATAATATAACATGAGTAACCAAGTGATATGTACAGTAGCTTACTTCATAAGTCTCACTTTAAAAAGAGAGATAGATACAAAAAAAAAATTATATCCATATCCACTAAAAAGTCGATAAAAAGATTTCCACACCTGTTCAAATTTTTTAATTTTCTCTCTCGTGTTTCTCTTTCTTTTTTGTGTCTATCTTTCTCCTTAAAGTGAGCTCACGAAGTAACTATTATATATGCTACTAATTACTCTTGGTGGATTATAAAATTTCTCGAGTTTTTTTTCTCTAAATAGGATACTTTTTAATCTAATTTTCTAAAATAAGGTATTTTAAATCTTATTTATAAAAAAGGAGTAGTTTTATCATGTAGACATCCATGTCATCTTTTTAAATAAATGTTATAATGTATATTTAATATAATAATTTTAAAAAATTAGAAACATAAAAGAAAAAAATTAACTTAAGCTTTCGTATTCTTCTTTTGTTGTCTTTATCTAATTTCTTAAAGTTCAAATACTCTCATAATTCAAAATTACAATTACTAGAAAATGTTTTAACATATGAATATCGTCAATTAAGATACTTTCTAAATTCTTTTATTTTTATTTATTTAATTTCTTAAATTCTCTCTGCCTAAATCCTTTTTTTTTCTCTTTTTCTTTTCTTGTTTTGTTACTGCTGCTATTGTCTCTGTTGAAGTCATTCAAAATCCCTTTCTTTGGGGTTTCTTCTGTTTTCTTTTGTTAGGTCATTATTTCTCCTTCCCATGGCTCCATCCAAAGTTATATCTGCATAAAGTATAAAAATAAGCACAAAGTTAAGCCACTACTTACGGAAACCCCCATAATGCCCAGCTACCATTGCCTTCAGAATAAAAATTGTATTCCAACTAAAAGGCAAGAGTGTCGCATGTTTCCAAATTTCCCATGGTTCATTTTTTGTTTTTTATGGCCGCTTTCTTGTTTTATTGTTTCTTTTAGCTCTTTTATCCATTTTCTTATTCACTAATTTGCCTTTCTATTTCTCATTCTAGCTTTTCTCTTAATCATATGGTCTTTAAACATGTTACCTTTTTGTATTATTCAAGCCTCTTGCTCTTAACATGTAAGTGCCCTTGTACTATGCAGAAATGCTTGATTTCATGACTATGACTTTCACACTTCATCCATTTTACTTGTTATTCTTGGAATTAAAGAAACTATATTAGATGCGTTGTTTAAACAGATCATTGGCTGATTCCAGAAATCTAAGCCAGCAATCCAGCATAGTTTCAAAATTATTGTACTGGATAAACATTCCACAGATAGACCCATCAAAGTGTTATATCATATACTGATCAATACAAATGAACCCACAATTATAAGCAACAAGCAGCTGCCACTGAGTTTGCCAAATTGTAATTTGTCAGCCAATAACCATATAACAAAAAAATAAGTCTAGAATGTATTCCTCTTCATTCATGGATTGATTCGAGGACTATGATCAACTTTTTTCATCTCATAGCCAATCCTTCCAATGTGGTTTTTGTTATCTTGAAACTGAATCTTCTTCATGTCCTCTTCCAGTTGGGCTTTCCAGCTGACAAGATGGGTCTCATCTTCTGGTGGTTTGATCTCAATGTTGTATGGAAATAACATAACAAGCCTCTCATCCACTTCTTTGCAATCATCGTCTAGCTCCAACGTCCAGGAACCAAGTATCAACACATTGCCCGATAGTTTCTTTAACATCCTATCGAACAACTTGCACATCCTTCGTGGTTGAAGAAGAAGCTTCTCAGCATCCGTAAGGTATAAAATGATGGAACTCCTTTCTGATACTGAAACCAACACCTGTAAGAATAACATGACTATCAATAAGATCTTATGAATCATGCTCGGAATAATCCTGATGCTGAAAAACAAATTTTCTTATACATTTTAACATATATATACAGCACTGACTCTCATCCAGCTGGTAAATAGTAACGCTGTAGAATTGTGTGTTATTAAGAACGGAAAGTAAACTTTAGTAAGCATCAACATGACCTGCTAGTGTTAAAAAATTAAATATCAACCACTAAATTCATGTAACAAACGCCTACTAGTGACAATATCATTACCTGATAGAGTGATTGCAGAAAGAGTTTCTCATCAAAACACCAACTGCTTGTGTGCTAGAGAGGAGCTGTAAGAACAAAAGATTCCCAAGAAGCAATGAGTATAATAGCAGTTTAAAATATGCAGATTACTACAACCAACCTAACATACATATGAAAACTAAAAAAGAACAGAATAGATGATCTTTGACAAAACTATGCATTAGAAATTATTTCTTCATAATTATTGTATATCATTCATGCAGGAACCATGACAGATAATAACAAATCGATACCAACACGAATGCCGGGAATCAAATCAAGAAACATAGAAGCTAAAGTTTGTGGATTCAAAAATAGGACAAGAAAACCAGGAACAACAGTCCTGTCACCTGTGTGCTTGCAAGGTGTACATCTCCTGGGATGAAACCCAGTAAATAGAACAAAGCCATTTATTTTAGCAATTCTTATCTCCAAAACCAACAGCAACGGGAGGATGCCACAAAGAAAAGATTGAAACAATAACTTAGTGATAAAGTTTCAAGTAAGAATCTCTTTAGTAAGATGTGATCTAAACATTGAATTTAGTTTTCCAAATCTGGACAACATAAAGCAGTGGTGGAGAAATATGGATTCATGCCCACACTCCACTCTCTTTGAGGAAGTTCATTTTGGTCAACAAGTAATGAACTTTCCAATGATCGATCTTCAGCAAAATCAACAACTACCAAACATATATATCACATTTTATAGTATTTAGTTCAGCTATAGAAATAATTGAATTTTGATGTATAACCTGGATTTGTAGAAGCAGATTGCAAAGCAATGCTACTTATATCAGATGCAGTGGAGGAGTTCCTGCGGAGTTTGGGAGGATTTTTAGACCCTTCCATACCCCTGCAAACTATTTAATATAACAATAATGGTTATTATAATCATGTCCAGAGAATATCACCATGTCAGAGCATTTAATTTGCAGGCAAAGACAATAAAAAGTACCAAAACCTCATATGCAGTAGATACAAAGAATCAACACAAAACCCCACAATTTCTATAATTTTCGACAAAGAAAGAGCACAGTTTCTTTGTCATCCAAAGTCCAAATGAAGTTGTTTGTCCAATTCCAAAGATGTTTTGTTTAAAATATAATAAAAGTAGTCTCCAAGTATTATCCATACTGATTAAGAGCTATGATAATATACATTGTTGAGGGAAAATGTAACTTTTCACCATATTTAATGAATAATTAAGTCTATACTGTGACCCAGTACCAAACAAGTCACCATATTAAGTCAATATAAAAGCAATTGGTAATTTGGTATTTACTGTCCCTAAGGTGGAAATGTTGGGTGTTGCAATGACTTACACAAGATCGAGCTGCTAGCTTCTTCAAGAAGTCCAATATATCACAGCATCACTTGGCATTTCCATCTTGACGATCTCCACATAGAAATCTACATATAATTTCATCATCAGATGCCTGATCGAACATCTCCAGTGTAGATTCATCTGCAGAGAACCCTCTAGTATGCATTTCTTGAAGTTGTACTGCAATTGATGTGTACAACATATAAGGTAAAGTGTTTTTTGTAAATTCCTGAAGAAATTTTCTTTTAAATTTAACAAGAGTGGTCTCCAAAAAGATCCCCTTACAGTAATTAATGATGCTATTCTATCTATACCAATTAATGATAGCATTGATGAACCACTTATAATTTGTAGGGAAAATGTAAACAAATCTCATCACTGATCGACTTTCACCATGTTTAATGTACAGTTGAACCTATAGAGTGATATAACCTGAGAGAGAGATTAGAAGATCCTTCTCCTTTGCTTTTGCTGTTTCCGGTCCCGCCAGGTGTGGGTGGAGGCAGTCGTCAACCAGACGCCAAGAAATTCGTTTTGGCTTTCGGCTTCAAAAAATTGGCGATTTTATGACGCTGGAGATGGTAGCGACTGACTGACTGACGCTGGAGATGGTAGAGATTTAAAAAAAAACTGACATGTGCAAGGAAAAACTATTTTATTTTAATAAATAAAATTAAAATAATAACTTTATTTTTATAAATAAGTTTTAAAAGTATTTAAAAAAAAAAAAAACCTCGAAGAATGAAGACCAGCTAAGGGTTTATTGATATAGTTTTTGGGCTTGGCTAAAACAGTCTTGAACTCTTTCTTAGGCTTGCTTGAGATCGAGTTTTCTTGATTCATACCTGAAGATTGGGCTTCGGACAAAAGCTAATCCATAATTTTATATCTGCTATTAGTCTATGTTCTACTAACTAGCCTTCTTCAAAGAATTTCTGCACATTCGCAAATTTGGAGCCGTGGAGGTGGAGGCGTGAGGTGTCTGTTAGGGATTGCAAATTTGGGACGGGCTTTTTGATTTGGGAATTGGAGTAATGAGCGAATAGGTTTCTGAATATATATATATATATTTTTTTTTTTTCTTTTAATTTTTTTTAAAAAAAAAACCACGTCAAAATTGATATTCTAATTTGGTGGTTTTAATCTAAATTGATATTCTAATTTGGTTCAGTTATTCGGTTTTAACCTAACGGTGAACACCTCTTTGCATGGGTATACACTTTGAATTCGTGCTGCATGGATGCCACATAATAACGGCATGTCTACTGAAAACAAAATGCATGCATTATTGTAGGAAAAGATTATTACCTATTGATTAGAAATCTAAATCATTAGCGGGCTACCGAGTTAATGGTGGTTGGAAGGAAGGACTGATTAAGTATGGCAATCTTGCTCAGTTACGTGATCAACTAAAAAGCAAGGTTCACTACTACAACCGTTTTAAATTTAACCCTGTTCCACACTTCCACTCCCTTGGCAAGGGGATATGTCAGAAACACGGATTTGGTTTTCGTTGAGAATGAGAACAGGAATTTCCAAAAAAAATAAAATAAAAAAGTGCGATAACGAAATTGATGGTTGGGTGTATAGACTAATAATTATGTAAAAATGGATTTATGCTGTAAATTCGACTCCAAATGCCAGCCAGCAAGAGACCCTAAAACGAGTCCTACATGAACAGTTCGAGCTCTGAGTTCTATTTTCATTATACATGAACAAATAACAACTCAATGATAAGCTATGATAATTGGCATAGAAACAAGTCAACAGCTAGACTAGCTTTTTGTCTTCCATCCCATCCTCTTCTGGTGTTAATTACAGTTACCAGAAACGCTATCTCACATCAAAAAGGAAGACAGTAGGTCTTGAAGTGATGGAACAACAGACGGAATCCAAAGAAAGTTGCAGTCTTAGTTCACCAGCATATGATCAAATCCCCCCAGCCTGAAGTCCTGGAACCCGATTCCCTCCCACATTGTGAAGCAACTGTTGCAGCCATCGCCTTGTTGTTGGATCTTCCTGGAGAAGTTACAACGTACAAAGACCACGAAATTGGTTATTGACTGAAGAAAGGGGGATGGGGGAGGGTAAAGAAGATATTTGATTTGAAAAAATATTACAAGGAAAAAAATGGAGAACATTTGAAACTCCAAACATATTATATCCCTGGCGCAGTTAACTATTTTTTGTGGCATGGAAAACAAATAAATTTCATAAACTAATCAGCTAATCGGCAAAGTATGCAACCAATAGGCAATATCATCAAACAATAAACTTGGTTAATGGTGTGTAATTATGATCCCCATCTCATATACTCCCCACCTGAAGATACCAACTTAAAACTTAAAATAGAGGTAAAACCCACTTTTTTCCACTAAAACATCTCATGTTATGATTAAACATAGAGTCATGCCACATGTTCAACTTTACCAATGGAACAATCATGCACATGCAATTCAATCCAATGGCCCAATCACGCACATAGCAAACTGCAGGGGTGAAATTTTTATCAATGGGTTCAAATGCATCCTACTCCAACTGTTGCTGTCAAAAACAAAAACTTGCCAATGAATGTAACAGTAGAATCTCAATCAGTGTGGCAATAATGAAGCAGCACTAGACAAGGTGGCTTGACTGCTAGTTAGGAATTTCAAACCATATAAAGGGCTTGCAGTACTTGCCCCGGTCAAAATTCACTTGATTATGGACAAGCTAAAAATCACCATCCTCCAGATGACTCTTAAGGTGATAGACAAGGGGATATTAGCAATTAAACAAGCTATACTTACACGTAAACAGCTACTGAAGGTGGCATCTCTAAGCATGTCTGGCAGGCAACTTCGTAATGCATCACAAGCCCTGAATTCCAAATATTAAAAAAAAAAAAAAAACAACAACAACAACAATAGACAAATGAGGTCAAAACAAATCATTTATAAATGATGAATCATCAAAAAATCAATGCAAGAAGAAAGTACAGAGCCAGCTGGCTGCTTCAAACCATTGTTTATTTAGAAATGTACCAACCTTGGATTATCTGAAAGTCGAAGATAACAACGGATAATATGTTTTAGTAACCGTGATGAGGGTTGTTCAGCAAGTGCTGCAACCATGTTCCCCAAAACTCGGCCCACTGCAAAAAACCGTTCTGCTGTAGTGCAAATATAATCCAGGCCTACATCATCCAATAAAATCTTTTGCACTATAAATGTGGCAACCTGCCAACAGAAAAAGGAGAATGCTAGCTGAGAAATAATTATTCATAATTATCTTATTGCATGTATGGTGATGAGCTAATGTTTTTTGAAAACAGAGACAACTCTATCATATAGTAGCCTGCAGTCAAAGATGCCAAAATGAGAACCATATGTCTGTAATGTGTTTTAAAACATGGCATCTCATTGACACTTGGGTTCATAAAAATCATACTCCCCATTGCATTTCAACAAAGAAATCATATGACTGACCAGGTGTACACATAATTGGTAGGAAAGTAAGTGCATAGATTGAAACTTTCAAGAAGATCCATATTAGTAACCTCATGGATTATTGAAGGAGCTGCATAGCAACCAAAAGAATCGAGTGGAGCACAAAAAAAAAAAAAGGATATTGTATTGTTTCATTCTAAAAGGGCATCCCAAGATTGCAAACATTTCAGAGCTGGTGTCAAGAAATCAAACAGATAAACCCATTTCAACATTTTGATCAGTGAAAAATGGGATGCAAAATTTAGGTAAGCTAACTTTCTTGAAATGTAGGTTGTTAAAAACATATTATAGCTGAAAAAGGTTAGGGATATCTTCTGCCATTAGCCTTGAAACAAGTCATCCAACCCTATCAAGACTAAAAACTAACATCTATGTAAAGATAATTTTTTCATTGCCTGTGCAAGGAAGTGTGATTGAGTAGAAATGTTATGCTTGGAAAAACACTATAGTTTGGAAACCTAAAGCTACATTGAGTGATGCTCCATGAAGCAAGAAGTTTTTTTGGTCAAAAAAATAACTGTCCTTGTTAGATTTCTAAGTTTCAAGTTTGAGTCATGGGTTATTTTGTAAGCACAGGCAGAATTAAAATTACTGCATATTCCCATGAACCAGGGGTATTTTAGTAACTATGCATGAAGGTCTGGCCTTATTTAGGAATTTGGTGTCTTAGTCATTAATAGTTTATTTCTGTTTAGTTTCTCTGCTGTTTAAGTGAAAAGTTCTTTGCTGTTTACGTGAGGATTGCTAATCCTCTTTTAAGGAGTCTTAATCTCTACAAATAAGTATATTATATTTTAATTTCAGCAGAGTTGAGTTTTGAAATAAATTTGAGTTTTAGAGTTTATTTTGAAGACTTGGTCTCTTAGTTTTCTTCCCCTTTCTCTTGTCCTATTTTCTCATGAATCTTCTTCTTCCTTGATTAAAAGTGTCGCTGATACAGTAACCGAATTACTTTTCACAACCAAATTTCTCCATATTTCTTCCTAAACAAGCTTTATTCTACTCTAATTACACGAATAACAAACCCTAGCTCGTCACAAATCCTCCGCGCAACAGAAATCTTAAATCCGTCTAACATCAAAGTGCTGATAGAAGTTCAATTAACTCTACACATAAAATTAACTTGGAAGCTCTAAATAATAACACTTCTAAACTCAATATTTTTAATACATTGAACTCAGATGTTTAAAAGACATTTTCTAAAGCACTAAACAAGTTTTTCTTTGAGACAACTGAATAAATTCATTATCACCAGTTGTCAGCCAAACAAAGTCATAAATGGTGGAAGTAAACAGAATCAGCATAAGTTTTTTGATATACTTGGAAGATCAGAAGGATGTAAAATAACAACACTCAACTGTTTTTGACAATTCACTTCCCATCTCCATAGTACGCAGACATAGCGGAATAATCTCAGTTGAAAGAAGGAAACTAATAACTTCTGTGTCATCAACCTGGTAAAGAAAAGAAAAGAAATAACATAAAAAATTTCAACTGGAGACCAAAAGCAACAAAAATATAAGCTACAATGTAGAGATCAATGCAACAAAGTAAAGTAAATAATATAACATTCTTTTGCTTGGATAGATGTTGGCATGTTTGTGCTAAGTGATACTATGATCAAGTGATATTGATAAATATGCACACATTCATATATCATTCTTTTTACGAGAAACCGAACCACATGTATATTGTTCTGTGATGCTATGATGGTTAAGTACAAAATGGTTCAGATGTTGCACTATAAAATAATAAAGAACATAAAAATCACAAATTCGGGACACAGAAATATCAGAAAGGATGAAGTACCTTCACTAGGGCACCGATGACACCTAAACTAGTGAGCCTCAGGTACTCAAAAGGCCTTGATTTGCTAGTTGTATTCAGGAAAGGGTATAGATATAAAGGTATATGAGCTGCAAAAAAAAAAAAAAAAGGGTTAGTTGGAAGAATAATACTAATAACACATTAATCAGATTATATCATCTCCACAGGGTAGCGAAAAGATTATTCTTCCTAAAAACAAATTTTGAGGATATAAAGATATATTAAGTGTGTGAATTTTTTCAATGTTCACAATTAGGTGTCTTGACTTTAATTTTTATCAATTGAGTTGCCAATCTGTTAACAACAACACAATAAAGTGCCTTGATAGATGTCTATGAGGAATTTGTTCCATTAAATGATGACAAGGACACCAAAACCTTAAAAGAAAAATGGTCAATGTTGTGAGGGTGAGCATGAAGTATGGGTTCTATTTTAACAAGTTTAAATATTCTTCCTTTAAAACATGTAGTGAACATGAAATCTGGGTTGTGAACATGTGTTTCTTGGGTTAGTTGGTGCATAGCATACAGAGTAAAAATTGCAGTTGAGACACCCAATCGTGAAAATTGAAAACGTTAGGACACTTAATATATTGTTATCTCAAATTTGAGCCATATGATCCAAACAAGAATAATAAAATTTTCCTCTCAAATGCTATTCAATTGGATAAACAAGATAATGAATGATACCATTGAGGAACAACATCCTCGTGTCTGGATGTGAAGCTACACACTGTAAGAAAATATAAAATAAATTATAAAGCATCAGAAATAACTACAAGCTGGAAATAGAATAAAAAGAACCACAAAAGGTACAGCAACTAAGAATATCCACGTCCACACTTCAATCGTTTGTCAAAGCGATTTGCAGGCAAAAAATAAAAAAATAAAAAATAAACAAGCAGCATATCATGAACTCAGACATAAGAAAAAATTTGCCAGGCAAATTTCTCTTCCATTTTACTTATTTTTATTTTTGAGTTTTCTTTTTTCCCAAATACTGTCAATAAATGCTTTCGTTCTCTGGTAAAACACTACAATCAAAATTCCACAATAGTTTAACCACTTTATAGAATGTGTTGAAAAATAATTTCTTCTCTGTTCCCCTACTAACATATGCATTTAAATATAAACACCTACAGCATCTCCTCTATTGCTCAAACATTGCAACAAGTAGGCAATAATTACCATAATACATAGCCATGTGAGAAATCGATGTTTAACTCTATTCAATGTCAAGAACCAACAATATTCACCAAAATAATAAAGTGAGATTTGTGCAAGAACCCAGAACATTAAGCCTTTAATCATTGATACATTGAACTTTTAACCCCCACCCACCAAAAGCATACAGCATTTGAGCATATAATACTTCATTTGAATACCTAGAAGGGTGGTTTCAATATATTAAATCATAATTTCTCTGGATGGAAAAATATATGGCAATATATGCACAGAATAAATTTCCAACGAAGAGAAAGTGCAAAGCCGGAATTATTGACAAAAAAACTTAAGTAGAGAGTATACAAAAAATGCATCCAAAGGAACTACAGAAAACAAAATATCCTCACCTGAAGAAGTGCTAGAGCATTGCAAACTCGATTTGATTGTGCAGGACTTAAGTTGGGTGGTGATAAAACAGGATATATTGAAACAATCTCCTGCAAATAAGAGGAGAAGTTGAACGTGTTAATAACATACATCAAGCACTTTGACAATTGAAAAGTAAACTATGTACAATTCCTGGAAAACAAAAGAGTAATATGTAGAGGACACGAGAACTGCTACACAACACCACTGGTGTTCATTTTGCTTATTAAGCTCCAACCAAAATTAAGACAAAACATGCAAAAGCCACATATGTCCAATTGACAGGCCATAAAAATAAAATAAAAAAGAGCTCCGAAAATAAACAAGCAATAAAAACCAACTCAACCATATGAATGGTATGCAAAAGAAAATCAAAAATTCTTCCCAGTTTCAACAGGTCATAGAGAAGCAATAGTTGTATTCCCTTTGTTCTTACAGCACATTACATTTTAATTCACTCACTCCTGTACTCAATATATATATATATATATATATATATATATATTTGTCAGCACAATGCATTAGGATTATGGGAAAATAGGAAGAGCTTCTATAATTCCAATTGACAAAACGAAGATTTGAAGTTGTGAAGGAAACTCTACAACCTAAAATATACCAAAAAAACAATGCAGATGACTTTATGCATACATTAAAAAGGGGGAGAATAATTAAACAAGGAACTGATATTAAATTATCGACTTCAAAATGGCATACCTGTAACAGTGCAGCAATAGTACCAAAAGAATTCCACAACAATGGAGCCAAATCTTGAAATAATTCTCTCTTCTAAAAATGAAAACAAAAACAAACAAAAGTTTATTAGGCATACCTGTATGAGTGCAGCAATAGTACCAAAAGAATTCCACACGAAAGGAGCCAATTCTTGAAATAAATCCTTGTTCTAAAAAATGAAAGCAAAGACAGACACTAGTTTATGATGGCAGCACACGAATGTTTAATAGCTAAATGCATAACCACTTAAGAGGAAAAAATGGTAAGATCCACATATAACCAGTTTAAATGCAGCCATTGGACGTGGAATACCTCCAGCTGTGTATGTGTATCTACTTCTTGTTTAAGCATATATAGAAAAGAACTGATGTACAATGAAAATGATATACTTTCGCCTCTCACATATATGCAGCTAGCCAAGATAAACATTCCTTGGCATGCAAAATCAAACTATCAGGTAGCTTCCAGCGGTTATGGCAGCCTCTTTACCATTGTAATGGCCTCCAATTTAAAAGGCAAATTTTACATCCTGTTTAGTTATAAAATGTTCTATTGCACGTAAAGTTTGAATATGCCTTGAATTCTCAGTTTCACTAGTTCCGGGGGCAGCCTTTTTCTTCCTCAACTGCATAAAATGAAGCAAACCCCACAAATCATAGGTGGTGCCGAACAAGTGGCGTATCTGTTTTAAGCCAATAATCATACAATTCCTTCCCATCCAACTGCCTATAGTAATTTATTGTAGCTGTTTTACATGAGAATGATTCTCATGAAATTATCTTCTTTTTATTTTTTTAAAAAATAAAAACAGTTAAAAATCAAGTATAGCACAAGACCACTGAATTTCTCTTTCCATTATTATTAGGGTTTAAAAAAAAACCCCTAATTTTTCAATTCCAGATTCTTTTCTATAAATCAAAGTTTAAGAAATGTAAATGTTAATGTAGTTGTTACCTTAGAGAGTTCAAGAAGGGCGTTTTCCCGAAGATCGGGATTGCTTAGGTCAAGAACCAAGTGCTCTGCTGATGCCATCTTCCGGTCTTTGTTTCCCGGAGCTCCCGCGGCGGCGGCGGCTGCCGCTGCCGCAGCTGCAGCTGCAGCTGGATTAGAAGTGCTAGGGCCTCCGAACGGAGCGTTCATCGAGAGAGATTGAGGAAGATTTGCCATTCGATTTTATCAGATTGAAGTTTTCTTCTCTCAAAATGTGGTGTTGTTTAGTTTTTCTTTCTTGATTTTATAATTTCCAGGGCTGGGTCAGGGTGGGTGATTTCCGTTTTTTTTTTTTTTTCCAGACTGATAGTGGACACGTGCTTTACATGCGCGTGGGAGTTTCTCTCTCTATTTTGGACTTCCAATTGAGTTAATTACAAATTATTCTGGTAAATTGGACTAACGTGTCTTTACATAGTGTCATTAGTTTTTAATCTATTTTTATATCCTAAAATAAATTAATTAAGTATGTATTAATTTTTAAACGAGTTTTCAATCTGATTAATTTTTTTTTTTTTGCAAAATCACTTGAAAATATAAATGCCCCTCATGTCATTTTCTTCTTTTTCCTCCTCTTCCTACTCTCTCCACCATGGCAGCTACCTTTCTCCACCGTCAAAAACTCACCCCATGTCCTCACGACTTCGTCCTGCAAAAGCAAAACCACATACTTCTATTAGCAAACTCTTCTATTATTAGAACCTACTTCCTACACAAAAAGTAAATAAAGTCAAAGAATGCAGGTACGTAGTTATGGTCGTTAAAATCTCTGTGTTATTCAGAAATAATACATGGACTTTATTTTTATTTTATTTTTTATGCTTCCATGATTATTGTAGGATGCAAGTGGGTTTATAGGATCAAAAGATGAGCAAATATTTCGATTGAAAGATTTAAGTCAAGGTTAGTTGTCAGGGATTCCATCAATAGGAAGGTATTGGCTTTGTCGAGATTGTCATTAATTCCTGTGGTTAAATCTTTCACAATCAAAATATGAGAGGCTAGATAAATGGATGTCCATAATGCCTTCTTGCATGTATATTCATAAGAAGCGGTTTACGTTGCTCGACTTATGGGTTTTGTTGATGAGAGTAGGCCTACTCATATTTGTCAATTGCATAAACCATTATATGGTCTAAAGCAAGCTCCACCAGCTTTGTTCTCTAGGTTGAGTAGTTTTTTGTTAAGCCTTGGTTTTTAAAATTTAATTACATATAGCTTTTTGTTTGTATTTTTCTTTTTAGAATGTGAAACTGTATGTCTTAGTCTATGTAGATGAGACCTCATTACTGGTAGTCATTCAAAGTATAGTAAATGCAAAAGTTAGAGAAACAAGTTTTCCGTGTGAAAACTTGGTTGATTTACTTTTTAGGTGTAGAATTATCTTTAGCAACGGCATGCTAGAGACCTATTAACTCGAACTAGAATGTCCGAAAGAAGTACATCGATATTGACAACTAACAAACTCTCTATTCACATGTCAGAAAATTTTTTAGCATAGCATCCTCTTTCGGCAAGTTATCAGTGCTCTTTAATACCTCACCGTCACCAAGCCTGATATTGTCTTTCTTGTGAACTGAGTTTGTCAATTTATGACCAACCAAGAACAAAACATTAGCGGTTGTTGTCAAAAATATTTTGAGGTATGAGATACATAATGAAGGAGCAAGAACTTAAAATGTATTTAAAAATACAAAAAAAAAAAAAAAAAAAAAAAAAAAAAAAAAAGAAAGAAGAAAAAAGAAAGGAGAAAGAAGAAGCCCAAGACTTTGACTAAAAACGCAAAATGAAAACTATCATATAAATACATAAAATAAAAACTCACCACTTCACTTCAAATGTGTGAAATAAAAACCCATGATTTTGATTAAAATTTTAAAATGAAAACATACATACGAATGCATAAAATGAAAGCTCATGCTTTACTTAAAATACATAAAATGAAAACTCATAAGTTTTATTAAAAAATAAATAAATGAAAACTCACATATGAATGCATGAAATTAAAACACACGACTTTAATAAAAAATATATATATGAAATGAAAACTCACATATTAATGCATGAATATTTGATTTAGAACATTTTTCTTAAAATCAAAATAATTGAAAAATAATTGAATTAATTGGAAATAATAAATTTCCATCATTTTCCTTTAAAAATCAGATTTATAGAAAAACAATCAACTTAATTGGAAATATTTGATTTAAGTAGAAGTTATTAATTCTCACTATTCAAATCCATTATTAACTAACTTTACTTATAACTTAATTTATTAATACTTCAATAAACTCCTTGAGTTGGAAATTCAATCAATTTAATTCTCATTTAATCTAATTGAAACCTTAATTATGGGAGAAAACATTTTAAAGATCATTTGGGTTTATGGAACTTTGGATCCAATTATTTGGAAAGCATAACAATTTGGTCAATTAAATCCAATTAGGTTTTACTCATTAAATCCAATCCATTCTTTTGACCATTTAATTTATTATTTCCTTGCCATTTAATTGCCAATTATCTACTAACCATTAATTAAATTATGAATTTCTAATGTCACCAATTTAATTTCTAATGGGTTTTGCATATATCGAGACATTGTACAATTTGAAATTTTTTGATTGAAACCCTAAGGTTTTTTTTTTATCTAATTTTAAAGTTTTACTATTATATTATTGTTGTTTCGTACCCTAATGTCTCACATAAGCAAACATGGCAAGCTCTAACCAATGACAACTTACCACATGTCATGATAAGCCTAAATTGAGTAATTGAATTAGTGACGTGACAAGATATCATTAGTTATAGCTTGCCACGAATGTTTACGTGACAAGTCGTCATTGGCTAGGGTTTAAAACAACAACATAAGAGTAGAACTCTTAAATTGGACGAAAAAAATTTAGGATCTCAATCAAAAACCCGAATTATACAGGGTCTCATTATACGTAAAACCTAATTTCTAACTTAGCCCATTTATTTATTTAAACCATTTATTCATATATATCATTTTTTGTTACTAACTAACTACTCCCATATTTATTTATTATTTAGGTTCTTTTAGTGTATAATTAGTTTACAAACCATTAATTTAAATTCTAGCGCACACACTAAAATCCCCAAATAGAATAAAAAAGGAAAAGTTAAAACTCTCCAACTCACAACTAAAGGTAAAGTACACTAATTGGTAAGTCGATTCCTACTCGACAATGATTGTAACTCCATAATGTGCCATCATTTCTCATCTTTTTCACCAAAAATAAAAAGGATAAAAGGAGTAATGCCTAGTAATCGTAGTCTATACATGATATGCATGTGAAGCAAATAAAAATCCTTTCGTGTCTTTTGAAATGTATTTTTCTTTTCCGAGTACACCCTACCAATTGTGTATATAATCGGTCATCTTTAAAAATAATGCGATTGTCAAAAATTCATAAAAGCACCAAGTACTTCCCTTTTTTCTTTTCTTTTTCCTAAAAAAAAGGGTGATCATTCCTCTTACATTCCTTTTGGAATTACTTAGCCATTTCCTTAAAAAAAATGCATTTTTTTCCTTTTTCCTTTGAAAAATCATGAAAAAAACCCTTCATAAATATATCATGAAATATATGTAATTTAACATACATTACCTTAACCATTTTCATGTCATGCATACTTGATCAACATGGTACATGCCAAATAATCAAACAAAGCATTAACATGTACTACACATATTATAGTATGCATAAATGAATTATCAAACAAAGCACATACATGAAACCCTAAAGTTTCATACTTGGCCGAATACGGCAAACAGGTTTCACCACATATAAGAAACCACTTTCTAAGAAATTTTACTTTCATTCATTTATGGAGATTTGAATCAATATTAATCCATCATAATTTGAGAAAATAAGCAATCAATTAAAATTTTCCATTTTGATCGAATATTACCAAATATTCAACCAAGAGGATTTTCACATTCCATCATATTGTTTCATATTAATCCATCATATTTCATTCAACCAAGAGGATTTTCACATTTTGACCCAATACATGACATACTAATGAAACACATTTTATTCAAATTACAATTATAAATCTATATTTTGGTCACTTTATAAATTTATTAAAAAAATTTAAATTTAAATTTTAAGATTTTTCAATCTTTGGGCCTATGAAATCTTGGGCCTTAAAGGCTCATGGGCTTCGATGCCCAAGCCTTCGGCCCGACATACTTGTGGGTGTCCGGCCTCGCGTTGGCCTCGAGCTTGGTGCGCTTGCGAACACCTAACTCGCCCATTGCCGGTGACATGGCATACACAAGCACTTGGCATGTAGCCTCTCACGTGAGTACCTAGCATGTGGCCCGACACTGCGAGCGCCTAGCCTACGGCCCGGCATGGTGCTCTTGGCATTACTCGTAGGCTTTGGCCATACGCGTAACTCACGTGCTTTAGACATGTCGTGACTTGGTCTTAACATTGGCATGCGCCCAACATATGCCTACCTTGTCGCGAACCCGATGCGTGACAAGCCTACCTAGCAAGCTTAGCTTATCGTGTGCTTTACTTTGTAACGAGCCCAAGCATGCTTGAGTCGGAAGGCCAACGTGCACGAGGCACGCCAAGTGCGCGATTACCTAGCCAATAGCCCCGGCCTCTCGCACACCTAGCATGCAATTGGCCCGGCTTACCGTGAGCCCGGTGAGCGAGTAGCCAAGACTATCATGTGCTTAACAAATGACCAGCCATCCAACTTTATGCACGTGAGCGCCAACGTCGACCTAACATGCCTCCACTCAATTTAAGCCCAAATCTAAGTTCTAAATATATATATATACACAATACCAAAAATACAAAATTTATAATCAAGAATAACAAATTTATTTAGTTAATCATAATTAGCAAACACATATAATCAAATATTCAATGAAGACTCTAATAGAAATTGAAGGATCATGCATCCTATGAAGGTGCGAAATAAAATAAAATTTTTCTCCATCTAAAGGGCCTCGGATCATACCATTGAATCAACTAATCATATATTTATGAATTAAAGTATTAAATAAAGAATTACCTCTTGTATTACATATTTAAATTCTTTAAAAGAGAAAAGAGCCATATTAATAGTTGGCCTCTATTGATAATCCACGCGATCCAAGCACCACACAAGAAGCACTCAAAATTGATAGAGTAGTA